GAAATATTTATTTTTGAAGTAGAATTTATATATTAATTTGAATCAAAAATAAAAAAAAAAATTTGTGTGACATATGCCTTTTTTTTTTACTGAAAAATCGTGTGTATGTGTTTGGTGTGATATGAAGGATAAATTAATTTTTAAAAGTACTTCTAATTACAATATCGTCCTGAAATTTTTGGGTTTTATGTAGAATTTTATTGCTAATCGAAATCAAAAATATTATATAAGAATATATGTAGTGTATTCTTTGAAAATACATTCAATGAAAATGTAGTACGCATGTGCTTGATGTGTTTTGAGGGAGAAAAAAAAATATTAAAAAATTTCAAAAAATAACCGCATCCTAAAAATTTTTATTTGGTAGTAAAATTCAAAACTGAATCTAAATAAAGTATAAAAAATGGAATCCCAGGGGATATATTTTAAGAAAATTTTTTTTGAAATTTAATAGTTAATATTAGTACTCAAATATAAATAGTTTTAATTGTTTAAACAATTTTATAAAAGCTCAATCAATTATCTTTGCAACGCTGTAAATTTCAAGTTTCTACCTTTTATAGAACTTGAGATACAGCTATTTGAAAATGTGTCTACTATGCCAGTTCTCAAAACCGCATGGGTCCATATCTCCTAGAAAAAAAATCAAAAAATTTTTTCCCGAGATACGGGTCTTCTTATTTTATGAAAGGAGCTCATAAAAATTTCAGCCAAATCGAAGATCATGAGGTCAAAAAGGTATCCGAGTTGTAAAAGAATGACCCATATACAAGTTTTAATAAGAAAAATGTCAAATATAAACAGTAAGAACTTTGAAAAATATTTAAAATACTTAAAATATTAAATAATAAAATACTTAGTAGTATTTAGTAGTTTTTAAGCAAGAGAAAACAAAGATAATGTTAAAACAAAAACCATTAATATTTAAGTATATTAAATAAAAGACTCATGCAAGTTACGTTACAAATTTAATATTTATTTTATTATTTACTCTACAAAATTTTGTAAATCACATAATAATTATAACTATATCAAAGGAAAATAATTAGTTTATTAGAATTAAATTAAAGAATTTTAAATAAGAATTTTAAATTAAATGTGCCGAAGATTAAAGAATAATTGATGTAATATAGACCAAATAAATAAACTAAACATATTATATATTATCTGTTAATAAGCACACGATGTTGCTTATTCGACTTTCAAAAAAACTGACCCACGTTTTTCTTTATATCCCCGCTCTTCACCGCTATTTTCGATAACGTTCTTTTCGGGTCAACGTTTGGAAGTTTGGTTAGATAACATTCATCATAAAAGTACTCGCTCAGATACTCTTACAACATATGTAAGAGTATAGCAACACAACAAAAAAAAATATCCGTAAATTACATTAACATTTACCGTAACACACCCAGTAGAAAACGGATCGATCCGTCATCGAAGACGTCTTCAAGACATGGATACATACATGAAGACCGATCGATCCAAATGTATGACGGTCTTCGAAGACACTTTCATACAAATTAGCCAAATGTCTTCAATGAATTTTTGCGTACATGTCTCGAAGACCGTCTCGAAGACCATGTCTTGCATAACGGACGCATTCGACAGAAAGTTGTGCGCTCTTAGTGCAGTGCTCATATAATTTTTTCACCCTTTTTTTATTTCTACTCTTTTATTGCGCTCTTTAAATTTTAAATGAATTTCAATTTTCTCTTTAAATAAGTAGAAAGAAATTGTTGTATTTTGTACTTTTATTTATTTTATATAATAATTTTTTACATTACATTCAAAATTAAAAGTTTTAGAAGTAAATTATAAATTTTATTATAAATTATTATAAATTTTATTAAGATATTAATAATAAATTAAATTAAACATAATGAAAATTAATTTAAATAATTAACTTAATATAACTTAGCATATCTAAAATTAACTAAAACTAATATAAAATAATTTATAGCATTTCGCTATTATCAATTGTTTTCAAAAGCGTTGAAGAGGATTTTGGTACAATTAAACCTTCTGATCTTAAGAGTTCTAAAATAGAGCAGGGTAGATACCATCGCCTCCAGGCGCCTTAAATGGTTGAAATGAGTTGATCGCCCATTTCACCTTGTCCCTGTCAAAAATAACACCAGATAGTGCGTATTCCTGACCTGTAGGAGCAGTAACTTCCCTATATGAATGTGATGTGGGTGGTCCGGATACGGAACCAGGTAAGTGTGTTTGCAAGAGAAACTCGAGGGTATCTTCACGACCAGTAGTGAATGATCCGTCGGGTTTTTTTAAAAGTCCTACTTCATTTGTTTTGACCTTATTTAAAGCCTTGTGTAGTCTAGCAGCCTCAGGCAACCTATCAATACTATCACAATGGCTACGCCAGCTGGCCCGTTTGGACTGTCTGATTGAATTGTTGTAGTCGGTGAGTGCAGTTCTATACTGTTCCCAACTACCAGAGCGTTTTGCTCTATTGAATAAGCTTCTTACAAGTTTACGCTTATTAGCTAGTTGCGTGTTCCACCAAGGAACCTTACCTCTAATCGAAGCATTACCTGCAACCGTGCTGTTGTGAAAGGAGGTCAGTAAAACCTCACCTAAATGGTTTGCAGCCAACTCTATCTCTTCACAAGTTCTTAGTGGCCTAGCTAGAGAAAAATTTTCGGAACCCACCAAGTCCCTGTACCTAAGCCAGTTGGTTTTCCTCGGCCGGTACACTTTATCTTGCTGCTCGGATATACTGGGAATTTCAAACCTAATATGTTGATGGTCTGAGAGGGACACTTCGTCCGACACTCGCCAATTCCATATAGATTCCTCAATACCCCTAGTGCAAAGAGTGAGATCTAATACCTCTTCTCTAATTGCATTAATAAAAGTGGGTTTACTACCTTTGTTAGCTATACTTAATCTTACCGACATAATATAATCTAATAGGTACTCACCCCTTTTGTTATCATTGCTGCTCCCCCACACTGTGTGGTGGGCATTAGCGTCACAGCCCAAGATTAGCTGTCGCCCAGTGGACTTGCAGAAGTTGATCAGCTGCTGGACTTCCGATGGTGGAATGGTTACTTCATCACCTGGGAAGTAGGCAGAGGCCATGACTATATCTGTGGCCCCTCTTAGTGTTGGGACTTCGACTAGAACCGCTGCTAGGTCTCTAGAAATAAAGTTTGTTAACGGAAGATATTTTACATCTCCACCGATTAGGATAGCTGCACGTGGCACTGCTATCGAACGGTCATAAACCAGCTTACCTGATTTTGTGTTGAGACCCCGTATTTGGCCATCAAACACCCACGGCTCTTGGATAAGTCCTAGAGCGATGTTATTGATTTGGGCAATTCTGCACAAGGTGGCCGATGCTCCCTTAGCATGGTGCAGATTTCCCTGGAGCACTTCAAGAGCGCTCATTATGTCTCGTTAAGAGACTTACGGACGAGACTTTCACGCTTGTCTCGTCGAGAACCTTTATTCCTATCACCCTTTGATTGCTTCGGTAAAATTTTACCGATTAAGGGTGTTTTATTGGTAGCGGTCCGTGGTTTACCTGCTACAGTTGCCGTGCCCGTGGAGGGCATTGTGGACTTTGTTACCGAGGTGGGAATCTGAACAGCACGCCCACTGGCAGAGCACACAGCCTTGCTTGTGGAGGGACGTGTGTCTAGTTCCTCTTCCTCAGGAACAGTCACTGTTGGGCAATCATCCGTAATGGATGCTGCCGGAGCCGAGGATGATTGGATTATATTATCATCCTGAACCACCTTTGGAGTATTATCTATGAGGTGAGAATGAGCGGGGGTGGTTCCCTTTAGCATCAATCTCAAGTGTCCGAACCGGTATGCAATCCTACCTTTAAGTTCGGATAACTTCCTCATAGATTCGTCATCAATGACGAAGACTAGGTGAAGCATCTGATCCTGCGTCAGCCTGCGTATCACCTTCCACCGCGTGGTGGAGAATTTGTTCTGGGTACCAATGGTAGCCAGAACTTTTTCGTTTGACAGTGTCAAACTCTGAGGAAAATAGCCACGAACTACATGAGTTCGTGGGAAATCTTTTTCCTCTACCACGTTTAAAGCGAGTCCGCTTTTGGCCCCTATGTGGCCTGAAAATTTCTTGACCCACTCCTCAGTTTTTGCATCACTGCAGACGATAAGCAGCCACCCCGTTCTAGGTAAACACCCTTCGAACTCCGGCTGTATTTCGTCGTTGTGTTGCTCAATAGCAACATCAATAATGGCTTCTTGGAGAAGCGTGATTTGCTCTGTAGAGAGCGAAGTGCCAGCCGGATCGGCCGACGTGAAGCCTAAGCGTACGCCTTTAACAGCTAGGCTGTACGATGGCTTGGTGAGCCCCACGTGAGCCACCTTATGTTTTTTGGCGGGAAGCAAACCGGGGGATTGCTCCTCTGATCTGACCCGCTTATTTGCAGGTGTATGTTGCATAGCAATTTTAAGAGCCTCTGCCCTGCTATGGCCTGAAGACATTGCCGCCTTAAACCTTCTTCTCTCACTTCTTTTAAGGTGAGTAAATTTTGGAGATTCCAAAGTGAGGTTGCCAACTTTGGATCCAACGACAGTTAGACCGGATTTTTGTGATACCACACTGCCGGTGTCGGAATCATCAGATTCAACGGTTTCGGAATTTGAGGACAAGACCTCAATAATTTCCTGCCGCCTTACCTGAGATCGCGACGAAGTAACTGCTGGTGCGTACACCGGACGGTGGCCCGTCCGGATCCATTTTGACGCACACAGTAGCGCTGTCGAAATGGGTGGAGGCTTCCAGCCCAATGGCCGGCACACACTCAGCTACAGATAATTCCGGAGAGGAATTATTTGAAGATGATGCCGTTAGAGTGACATCAAGCTCATTTGAATTGTTTAATTTGTCCATACGAAAATTGTTTAAATTCGGGATGGGAAGGTCACACACGACATAGCCCGTTTATCGTGAGAAGTCTAAATTAAAACTGGAGGTCGACAGGTATCCAGAGTTCGCATATTAAAGACCAACTATCCATGGCCATTCATCCCTCGGCATATGCTGTTCCACCTTGGATTTGAGCTTTGATTTAAGACGCTTTTACATGCGTCCGCCCGATTACAATTAGCCAGCACTCATAGCAGAGACATGACCATACTATGAGCCTGTTTCTAGCCGCCCCCGCGTAGAGGATGTAATCACACTACCGACAGTATACAGCAGTTACGGCACATACACAAAGTACGTGTTTATCCCCCTGTGTATCTGACGGCTGACGACCAATTTCTAAATAATATTCCAAAAAAAAAAAAACAAGAAAACAAACCAATTTATATTACAGTGACTCTATATTTAAGATATATTGAAATAAACAAAAAGAATAAGAAAAAAAGAAAATGTGGCATAAAAAAAAATATATAAAATTAGATATTAAAAAAAACAATAAAAGTTAATGTAAGATATGTATGTATATATGCAAATATAATAAAAACAAAATGTCAAAAGAAATCAAAACAAAAAAACCAGAAAGAGAGGAGTATAACAAATTCGTCTTCCCATCAATGACGTCATCAGCAAGAAAACCTGTAAATAAAACTTAATTCCCCTTATATTTATACTCTTAATATAGGCATATATGTTCTGCCTATATACAAACATTTATATTAAATTTATATATATATATATTAAATATTAAATTATAGGTAAATATTATCTTAACTAGATTAATAAAAAATAAAAAAATAAAAACAATTATAATATAAAAGCACACAAACTTAATTTTTTGGTTACTCCTTCTGTTTCAAAAATTAATTTAATAAAATATTCAAAATTCAAAAATAATAAAAATTATAAACATTATATAATAATAAATAAAAAAAAAATACTTCAAAAAACTTTATAAATGATATATATGATATATATGATAAATATGTATTATTTATATAAGATAATGAATATTTTTATTTGTTTGCCACTTAGCTGTTGTTGATGTTGTTGTTTTAGTGCTGCTTTTTGTGGAGCTTTTAAAAATTCTGGATAATCAATAAAACCAACAAGTGCTATATCATCCATTGGTAAAATGAGATCACTTAGAACAACTAATTCCTCACCAAAAGAAATCTTTTCTTCAATATGTGGTTTTTTGCCCTTCAATAGGTTGTTCTTTGCTGTCGTGTTCATGCCAGTAAATAAGTGATTTTGTAAATTCACAGCCAACTAATTTATAAAAATTTACTGTTACCAGTTACTGGTCCACAGAACGAAGAGAACCAAGACAACTATATAGTTATTGTCTTAACTCAATCGTTATGTGGCAAGATCAGTGTTGTGATGTAAAGTTAACAGTAGTTTCTTTTCTCAAAGTAAGAATTAAGTCCGTATTTTTGAATAATTAATATAGTAAAGTTGAAAGTTTTATTTAATAATAATTAATAAATGCATAGCAGTCTTTATGGGGACATTTTCTAATAACACCTAAAAGTAGGCAAAGTTATTTACAGTTGCAATAATATTAACAAGAAGTCAGAAAGTCAGTAAGACAAATTGTCGAAGTGAAATGCTGATTTTTGTTCATAACATATTTATTATCTGGGTCAATTCTAAATGACTGAAAAAAAGAAATGGTAACAAGGTGAAATAGACTGTGAAATATGTAGAATGAATAATTTTGCGAATTGCGCAAAAATTATTATTACAAAATAAATTTTAATTTTTAATTAATTTTTAAATATTTCTGGGTATGGGGCATGTCTAATATAAAGGTCATATTAGAGAAAGTTCTAAGCGTAGGTGAGAGCAGCTCTATATATATAGAGTCTGTTATCTTAAATGGGAGGCATTTAAGGATTTGGAAAAAGTATTGGACAAGTGAAAAGATGCAGTGAAGCATTTGCCAAGTAAAAGATGAATTAAGACAAAGTCCAGTAATGAATAAAGATAAAGTAGCGAACAGGGACAAAGTGGAGGAAAAGACTCAGCTGAAGTGAATCCTCAAAGATATGTCAAGCAAATAATATTTAAAAGTGGACATAAGACAAACATAATAAAACAAATAAAATGATCAATATTAAGGATAATATTAAAATTTGTATGTAGAATGAACAATCTAGTAAATAAAATATAAATTGTAATTTATATGAGAAAATAGTGATATTGTAATAATAAATTATGGTGTATAAACGAAACCATAAGTTAAAACTAAAAATTTATAAGTTGTAAACAAATAATAAATTATATGAACTAATAGTGTAAAGAAAATGAATGTGGAGTTTTACTACTATTATGGGAACAGCGTTTTGGGGATTTGGATATTGGACATAGCATCAATAGTTGTAACATGACATTAAAGAATGTAAAAATATTGTATTAAACAACTATTTGGCTATACAATATTATTGAAGATAACCCCCATAAAAAGGGTAACACAACATTGGCGCAGTCGGTACCTTCTTTTCAACAACCTACGTGGGAAACATATTACATCGCATAATAAAGTTTAATTTTTACATCAATCTACGAGGGATCTTCTGCAAGATGACATCAAACGGAAAACAATTCTATAAAATCTATGTAAGTGATACAATAATTATTATGTTTAAGTAAACAACTTGCAAGAAAATTTAAATTATTTTTTCAGTAAGCTAGCATGAAAATTTAAGTTGTAAGCTAGCATAAAAATTCATATTATTTTATTCAGTAACCTAGTTTGAAAACTTATAAATATGTTAATCATTTTTGAAAATTTACATAATTAATAATTTCAGTAAGTTTATGCATTTTTCTATTGTTTATATTGGACTACTATTGATTATTTTTGGTGGTATTATGAAGTACTCATATTGTTTCATATGCGAGGAGAGAGTTAGAAAGGAAAAGATTGAATCACATTGGAGGATTCATAATAAACTATTAAATAAAGTGAATGATTTAATTGATAGAATTACGGTAGAATCTATTTTAAAAAACAAAGGCGGAGAGTGTCTTTATAATCTAGAGATTAACAAAGTAAAACATTTAGAAAAAGAAGCCATTAGGAAGTGGCAACAAAAAATACTAGGGGACTATAATAAAGAAATTTAATTTAATTTATTTTATTAGTCAAGTAAATTCCTGAAATACAAATTCGTACAAAATTTATTGTATGATAAGTTATAAAATAATGCATTAAAATAAAGTGTGAAAACTATTTTCGCAAACAAAATTTTGGTTTGTTTCTGTTGCGTTAAGCAAAGAATTTTGGTTTGCTGATAATTTTTGTTTTTCTGTATGTTTTTCTTTTTCTGTTGGCTAATACTATTAAGCCTAATGTCAATCAATTATAATAATAAAATTTATAGATTTTTGTCTGTTGTGAAATATTAGAATAAATTTGCAAATAGTTTTTTATAATATTTTTTGGTATTTATGGTTCAAAATTTTGTTAAAGA